GCACCATGCTCTGAAGCCAAGCACTGGCCAAACCTCATTACAATAACCAGGTCCATCACGTGATGCCTTTGGGCTTAAAAATACATTTCCTCATACACTAACCTTAGGGAAATGTGTCTATAAATCAGCGTTCATTTTTTCAGATTTCAAATTCCAGTATGACACTTAAACAGCCCTTATTTAAATTGTGGGATGATTAAAAAGTATGTTCTAAAAGGCACTTAATTCTCCTTATAGCTTAATAAAGAGTTCACCTCTGAATAATGAACTGTATTAACTGTTATTAACCATTAAGAAACGAATAACCACAAGGAATGCTTGGCAATTACCTGAAAAAAACTCATAACTTATAGCAACACTGTACACATGAATAAGCAAAACATAGACATTATTTCACAGCAGACAGGTGAAATCGTCATAGCAGGAACAGAACAGGTGTTACTAATCACATTAGTGAGCTACTGTAGCATACACTACAGTTAGCCTAAGTCTATAAGCTAAATTATATTTAGCACAGCATTATTTGTGATTATTTACACCTGTACTTTTCTGTAGCATTAAAACATTTATCCCATGAGTATAGCTAAATGTCAAAAGAGCAGATTTGAGCACCAGCATACACCAAGACATTTCTCAACATATCAACAGAGACTGAATGAAGCCAACATCCACTCAATATAGCACCAGAGTAGCATTAGCAGAAATAAAGCTAGCTTCTTACCTTGTTGAAGAAGGCCACTCTGGTTTGGTTGCGGAGGATAAATCAAAGTTTTCCACACAAAACAGGAAACTCCAGCTTGCTTTTTGATACGGTATTGAAGACTCTTGGTGGAATAGCTTGTAACTGAAAAGCTACATAAACAGCAGCAGCAACAAGTTGTTAGGGTTTTTAAACTGTTTACCTTTCTAAAAGAGTAGCACCTACAGACGGACTAAGCGCGCGGGCGTGGCACGAGGTTTAAATAGTCCGCGTTATTGCAATGCTGCATTCAGGTAGTGTCAACACATCTGAAAAGTCTACTCCAATTGGGAAAATGTACGGAAATGCTATATGCTACCACATATCAAAAACCAGAGAAAATGTTAAAGACATGACCAAGTTACGTTATATAAAGCCGAAACATAAATGTTGATTTGTTGTTAAGAATTATATTAGTTGGAAAATGGAAAATACATTTTTGCTCATGTTATTTCTAGGCCTAATATACTGTTTGGTGGAAAATGTTAGTTGATGTCAACAAAGAGTGACATAGATTAGATATAAAGATAATTCATGAGCATTCTTGAATTTCATGTTCAACTGCAACTAAAGCAGTTTAGCAAAATTACACAAAAACAATTTACTGAGCTGATAGTTTTAGTAAGATTAGCCCAGAGTTTAACATATCTGTCTCTACGATTTCACATTTCTACTAGAATGTGCCGCGCTGATTGTGTGCATTTACTGTGAAACGGCCATTTCCCTTTATTATATAAGTAAGCAAGAAGCAGTTCAAAAATTATTTCTGCTAAATCCTGTTATTTAAAGGGAATTCTCCCTCACTACCGTAGGCATGAGGTAGATGTCAGAGGTTTCATCAGCAATATTTAATAGAACATTGACAGAAATCAATTTGTATTCAGGAGCGAATACATCCTTTGCCCTCTGGTGATTTGTTGAACAAGTAATCACCCGTTGGTTCCGGCCTTCAGTCTGTAAAAACAGTTCCCAGCATGTACCATTATTCCTGCACTGAAGCCCTTCCTCTGATCCTGACATGTGATCACCTTGACCTTTAACAGGTGACTGAACATCCCTGAGGGAAGCTAAATAAAAGACTAGCACTGTGTTTCCCGCTGTTGTCACTGATGTGATATCAATAGTCTCTCATTGAGATGGGACATTCACTGTTTCTGTTGTGAAGCAGTACATCTCAGAGCATCGCCTGTTAGAGGCTGTCAGTATGTAAGAAGGGGGGGGGGGAGGCTTCTCTTCCCTCCAAGGACAGCATGGTGGGGGCAGAGGAGCACTGATTGAGAGCAACACCTGTCAGGTGAGGCTTTCGCAGTTGACGGCGCAGAAGGAGCGCCAGGTCGACTGCTATGACTGCTAATCTCTGACGTGGCATCCTGCCGGTCTCCAGAGGTGGGGGGAACGCCAGGAGCCTGCACGGAGAAGCTTTTCCTGGGCTGCAGTCCTGCTAATGTCTCCCCAAACAGAGCGAGCCGTGCTGATATGCTCTAAATACATTTCATTATCATCATCATGATTATATCACTAATTGTGTGTGCCCGGTAATGTGCTGCAGCAGCGCCCTCCTGGGAGGTGTCTGAGAGACTGAATGATTAAAACATGTATGATGAACCATGCATCAAAACGTCCCTGCGGGCTCCCCCTCACAAGATACATGTAAGCAGCTCCAGTGACACTCGGAGCAAGCAAACAGCAGAGGAGGAGGTCTACTGAGGGTTGAAAGGCTGAAGAGGAACCTGCAGGCAATAACAAGACAGCAGGAGGATATTAGAGATGCTGGGGATCGACCTGAGCTGACCCCATCCATATCCATAAACCCTTAGTACATAACCTATACCTTCAGACATGACTCCACAGCAGCCTAAATAATTCTACACCATACGTAAACCAAAGGCAGAGGTTCAAATCATCGCCAGGCTACTTTGGGCCTGTTTCCGTCTTTGCGTGCGATGGCTGACAGGAGAGGATAAAGTTTTTGTGACAGCATTTGATGAATGTTTAATCCAACATTCATACATCCCGGGCTGGGATATGGTCCCCAGTCAAAACCCACCAAAGACACACAGCAGGTGTGTGAAATATTCATTCACTACATGCTTCATTAAGAATGAAACATACCATGGTCCCGTTCATTTATTCATTTCGATTATCGAAACAAAAGACAGAAAAATTAGAGATTAAAACATGGTGGGCGAGCTATTACGTGTTTGTCTCGCAGATTTGTAACAATTTGTTTTGTGACAAATAACTCCTGCCTGTTGAAATCCCGCTGTCATCTCGCTGAGAGTCAGGAGAGTTACTGCGAGAGAGGAGCTTTCATGTGAGGGCGGTAACAAATCACTGTCTGCCTGCAAGTCTCCAGCTCTGCATCCGACTGTTTGACCTCTGACCTGTCCTGGAGCATCTGGTGACTCATCGCATAGAGCATGCTGATATATATCTGAGCCATCAACCGAGGAAGGGACAGTTTTCATATTTTTTCTATTAATTAACGATGAAATGTGACAATTAATGATCCCTCTGAGTGACTGATCTCGGACGGATGAAATGACTGATGTGGTGCCTGTCAAGCTCATTCTTCTTTTCTCTCTGAGCCGTGAATATGTCATTGTTGAGCGCCAGCGATGTTTCGACGTAGGCCTAATCTGGTTGAGTGAATGTGTCACATGGATAGCAAAATTTCCCCATGGAACACATTAAAGTTTCATCTAATCTAATCTAATTAAAACAAGGATGTGCAAGTCCTGACACACTGCCCAAGGCTGCATGTGCTGTTCTGTTCCGAGACATTAAAGTAAATTTACGGCAGCTATTTTCCGTAACACAAACGCTAAGACATGTTTAGTTTTCATTAGGAATTTAATAAAGCTGTTTTTGAAAAGATAAATATGCTAAATAGGTGTGTGACTGTTGTCGAGTAGTGGGGTTACAATATGTTATTTATGATTCAGCAGTATCAAAACCTTTAGAGAATCTATGGAGACTATATTTATATTTTCCAATAAAAATGTTCCAGGATGCATACGCATTGAAAATGTTATGGCACAAATCAAGGTTGGATTTCATAGCTGTGAAATAAACAAAAAAAATTAATTCTACATTTTTCTTCAGTTTAATCCATTTAAACTTCATTGTCATTGCACGCTAATGGAAATATATTTTTTGCCTTTTCCATTATTTTCCTCGTAATGTAACTGTGGTTTGTCACTACCAATAACTTGAGGCAAATGAAATATAAAAATAGACAAAAGACACATTTATAAAAGCAGTTCCAACATGTAAATTATACTAATTGCTTATATGCGTATGTATGTGCATTACAACACTCATTAATGTAACATATCTGTGCAAGGTTATTGATTGTGATTCCTTCAGATGCTTGCTGACAGTCTGTCGGGGGGTGAAGGCAGATTGATTGGCACTCAACTGAAGTGCATAGTTGAAAGGGCAATATTTCAGAGATCAGGGATGTTTCTTCCACGTTTGATCCAGTGCTAGTTTTCCTTATAGCTACAAAGGGTTAAAGATTTTTTTTGATACACCTCTTTCATATTTTCACATTACCATACCTACACATATGAAAAAAAGCAGTATAGTCCAACATACTTTCATCTGCTTATCTTGAGACCTATGTATCACTAAACATTTACACCGTCTAAGTTAAACAACATAAGGGGTCTGTATAATCAGTTATGTATTCTGCTTAGATGACGACCCCTCTCATCATTTTGTGGATTATTTTTAACCCTATGCAAAATATACTTTTTAGGCCAATGAAAGATGAATAACATTTATACAATTTTGCATATACTGTGGCATTTAACTGGTCATGGTTTCCAGCTAATAATTAATATTTGGTTTGCAGAGTACAGTTGACTTGGAGTACATTTAAATTATATGGTTTCAGTTAAAAGCACATTTTCAGGGTTATTCAAACTGACACATTTGTTATTTAAAATAAAAACAATATCACACAATATGACATACACATAGATTAGTCAGGTAGCCTACACCTTACTAAATGCATTGTCCATTACAACAGTCCTGCAATAAAAAGGATTTCTAACATGATTAATTATTATTATTACAAATATATTAAACTAAATATTAAAATTGAGAATGCATGCAAATATAAATGTGTTATACTTATTTAATACTGTTTAAACAGCTGTGATAATTAGTCTGACCTGAGAGAATTAAACATTAATGTTGACATCAAACACAGTGCACTATTTAACACCGCGGAGGAAGTGCCTCCTTCCTCCCCTCCCACGCTCACCGACGTCATTTCCTCCGCAGGGAAAACATGGCGGCTGCCGGTCAGTCAGCTTCGATGCCTTCTCTGCCGAGAAATGTAGTGATTAAAACAGAGCCAGAGGATGAGGATACTCTCGTGATAAGCCCGGTGGATGTGCCGATCAAGCGGGACCCCGTGCTCTCACTCATCGCCCCGGTCAGCGGGCTGCAGCCGCTCACATGGTCTCAGGATCACCGCCTGGCTGTGAGCACCACCAGCTCCGTGTCGCTGCTTGAGCTGGTGTGTGATGTGCACAGTAACAAACAGGAGCTCACGCTGCACCGGACCTCCATCCCCGTCCCGACAGAAGCCACGAAGATGCGGGTAAATACCCACCAGTGTACTGTCCGATAAAGGAAACAACATGTAGCACTGTAAAGTTAGCATGGCAAGAGAAGAAGTTGATGGAGGCGTGTGGCGCAGTGGACTAGTGCGTTGGTGTTCGGATCAGGTTAGCACAGGTTCAAACCCCACTGCAGTCAGCGTGTCGTTGTGTCCCTGGGCAAGACCCTTCACCCTAACCTTTTTGTATGTAAACATTGAGGCTGGAAGCTGAACCTGCCACAAGGACAGCATCTGTCAACATCTGATACTGTGTGTTAGGATACAACAACAACAAACAATGCACTGCTGTTTACAGGTGCAGGGTACGAATCTGTTGCCTACATATGGGGTGTAAAATAAGCTATTTCCAAATTTGAAAGGAATAGTGCTAATCTCCATGAACTGGCTAGAGTGTCCTAACAAGCAATAGTTTCATGGATTGGATTTTCTTGAATTAGAGCTGTGTAAAGTCACTTAAAAAAATGTATAACAATTGAAGTGTTACAGTTTACCTGGTCAGACATCCTTTTTCCGTCAAAGCTGTCTTATCCACCCATCTCTCATGAAAGACACCAGACTCTATCGACAAAAAGACAATGTTTACCTTGCAGAACAAGTTTAAAACACTGGTCTACCACTATCTTGTTGATTAGTTTGTTTGTATTATTGTTTGACTTTTCGTACTTTTAAGGGTTAATTTGTATTAACCAAAGCAAGTTGAAAAGACTGTTTTGGTCAAAGGAGTATGGTTGCTTTGAAGAGATAAAAGGGCTTCTGTTCCCCATCAGAAAGGCTGTCTTGATGTATTTACACCAGATGAATCTGAAAAAAGCCTATTAGAATCAAACTCTTCCCATACATCTTTCAGTGAAGATCAAACACCAGAGTGAAGTAACGATAAGTAAAACCCATTGATCGTAAAGAGGTCGCACGCTCGTGAACTGTTAGCGCCGGAACCTCACAACGGGTAACTGCGGGGCGCATTTGCGCCGCATTTGGGCATAAGATGAGGTTTGAGTCTGCGTGTAGGGAGAGGCAGCAGCCATATCATTAGCTAACTAGCTAGATCTGATGGATTTGGACATACGCGAGTGAAGTATAACCGGACGCGAGAGAGAGAGAGAGAGATCAGCACCTGCAGCTCTGCCTGCTGTGAGGGAGCAAAACACACCTTTAGACCTAACACACTTAGCTATGGCACTGTCGTATACATTGAATTATTCCATTTGATCGTATGTAATCAACTTAGGCACCCCTCCCAGAAATTGATTAATCGTTCCCATCCCTATTAGGTATGTCAGCTCAGTGCCCCTATGGTGATTATTTTTTTACCCCACACATTGAATAGAAAAATACTCTGAGCATGCGCAGCGTAGTTTTTACAGTACAAGTTCATTTTAACAGCAGAGAGAGGGGCTT